TCTGTGAGTATGGGCCAACATGTGTATCTTTGTGGGCAAAGGGGGTGGAGCTGGTAAAGTGGGCAAATGTGCAAAGTCCACAATAGTCTAGTGTTTGAATGTCTTTGCTCCATGCTAATGCAGCACATATCACAATAAAGGCTGTGTCATCATCATCATCAAAATGTTATTTTATTTATTGCAGACTCTTAGTCCAGAGTTAAGGGACACACAAAAAACACACCTTCAACAGAATATTTACAGCAAACAGCTGTACCAGTGTCTCCACACTTCAGACTGGTACCTCTTGGCATGGAGTCTGACATTAGTCAGGCTCATGATAAAACTGTTCTCACAGCCATTAAGGCAACAGATGAATGTGTGCATTAAACAGCACATGTTTTATTTATTCTTGTGGGGGGTTCTTGAGTTTGTGTTTACCTGTCTTCACTATTATGTTGGGGATATTTCGACCATTTTTGTCCATGTTAAAAGTTAAAATTAATTACTATAGCTTTTTGTACCTGAGTTGATGTGTGGTAAATCAAGAATGCACCTGCTGAACTATAGATCTGGTGTCTGAAATAACTTTGACCGATAACATTTGAGGGCAAAGGTAGCAGCTTCAGTCCACAGAAGCGTCTCTGCTCAATATCAACCAGTTTTACAGTTAGCATTTGAACTGCATATTTATAATCTTGGTTTCTGTTGTGCAGCATTTACTGTGTGTTGTAAGATTGGATCCATTTATGTTATCTTTAAGGAAACATGTTCATTTTGTTAGAGCTCCGCCCAAAGACAAATGGGCCATTTGTAACCCTTTCATAAAAGTATTTTCCTGGATGTACAGGTGAATGTACAACCTGTCAACCTCTATTCTTTATTTACTTAAATCAATTAATAATTATTATTTTCTTCATATGTGGTTTTGTTTTTGTTGTCTTTACAGATTGCACAAGCAAAGCCATCAGATCCTCCCAAACCAAGGGAGGGAGAAGGTATGACATTAGATCCTAATTTTAATGCAAAAATCTTTTCGTACCATTTGCAATGTTCTTGGAGTATTTTCAATCAAACTTGTCTCATTTGTGCATTTTCCCTGCAGTGCGCCGGTGGCTGGAGGTGTACTCGCGGAGTGGCTGTGAGCCACGGGACACTTTGGTAGAGGTTTGGCGTGAATTTCCAGAGGAGATGCACCACCTTTTTGTCCCATCGTGTGTGTCGCTGCAGCGGTGTGGAGGCTGCTGTGCTGATGAGGCCTGGGAGTGTGTGCCCTCACACTCACATACACTGACCATGGAGGTATAAGCATATACTCACATTTAGATTTTTTTTTAGGCTCAAAAATATTAGACAGCTCTTCAGAGGCCAAAGTATTTTCCCAGCTGACAGTTACAGAGTATACTTAAATGGCTCTCATGCAGTAGTGTCTGATATTGCATGATCCAGTAGCTCCAGCTGTGTTTGCACCATACACTTAAATATCTTAACAATATGTACTTGTACTTAGAGTCTCTTTTGTGTGCAGCTGATGAGGACCTCCTTCATGAACCATGAGCTTGTTGAACTACCATTTGTGGAGCACAGCAAGTGTGAGTGCAGGTAACAGCTTTTTCTTATGTTGTATGTAATAAACTGTATCCTCAAATCACTACTTACCATATCTATGCATTTTATACATGTACAGAATGAAACAGCTCCAGACAACACCAACCACAAGGTAAAACTAGCTTTGTAACTATGTATTTAAAATATTTTTAAAACATAGAACTGGTGGACCTTTGTTTTTCTCCTATCACACTATACCATCTTCATGTTTGTGCCTGTGCTTCCTGTTAGGACTCTACATAAATAACACATTGCTATGTATCAGCTGTCCCTCTGGGTTTTACTCTATACAACTGAGTTTTTGTATACTTCTGTGTACCGGCAGAGTGACCCACAACAAATAGTTAAGTTTACTTAGTCTTTGTGTAAATATTTGTATTATTTGTTATGATATGGGTATGAGAGTGCAACTCTCTCCCAGCATCCCTTGGGGTGACCCACATCCTGTTGTCACCATAGTGATGATTTTTATCTATGCTGCCATGTGCTCTTTTAAAGACTGTCAAAGCAGAGACATGTACAGAGTTGTAACTACAGTTTGTGTTACAAAAAAAAAAAAAAAAAAAGAGTATGCAATGGTTTCTGGATTAACCATTGTACATTTGATATTAGATCCCGCAAGAAATCGATAAGAAGACACAAGAAAAAGTGGAGGGAAAAGTCCAAAGAAAAGGCAGCAGAATCCCCCAGAGCTGAGTAAGTCAAACATGTTCAAAATTCAATAGTACTTGACAGATACAGTATATTCAAACCTTGTAAAATGGATTAGCTTCATTATTAGTGCTTAACAATTTTAAAGAAGCCAACCACACAAAAAACTAAAATTAATACATGTTGTATTTCTGCACCTTCAATGGCATAATCACTAATGTCAAATGTAATTAAAAACCTCATCCAAACTCCTCAGGTGTGTTACATCTAACCAGGATTATAAAGCAAGCAATTAGAATTTCTCTTTAAAGCTACCTTTATAATTAGACTAGTCATTCTATGCTATCTGCATTATTGCTGTCTGACAGTGTGCCAGCTTTAGTCTGACAGAAGAAGATCAGAGACCACAGGTGAGCCTGAACGAAGGCTAATAAATAAATAAATGTAATTTGTCTTTACATAATATATACAGTTATTTGAAAAAAAACAAAACTAAATCTTGTGGTAAATGAGACAAAAAGAAATTGTCTTCTGCCGGTCTTTTAGTTCATATCTGTTACTCAATATTCAAGCCTCAGGGCCAGAGGTGGCTCTGTATGGGGTGCACCCATGCAGCATCCATCCATCACCCAGAACTGGCTTTATTCAGGCTCTGGCAAGGGTAAAATCTGTGTAATTTGCCCCAAATGCCACCTCTTCTGTGTCTGCCAGCAGCAGGCGTGGTCATCAGGAGTTGAACAAAGATGGGCCCTCTCTGGCTCATTAAGTAACTTCATTAAGATCTGCTGCCATCAAGAAGTTCTGGAACCAGCTCCACTTAACAGGCAGACAGACAACTTTCTCAGACCAAGGATTGTAGTTGCAGTAGTAGGTATAAGAAGGAAAAAGATAACTTTTAACATTTAACATTGTTACTTGTAATCTGCAAAAACCTACAATTTGTGCATGCACCTTGTTCATACTTGTGATTATTTCCATTCTCAAATTGTTTCTTTTAAGGAAGTGTACAGTTTTTATAAACTGCTTCCTTATTGTACTCTAGCAAATTCCAGCCTAGTGCCATCTTGGCATTTCGATACTTACATGACATGATTAACTGGGCCTAGAAATGTCTATTAACAAAAATTACATCTAGATGAAATGCCAAAGCCATTTTAAAATTGCACATACTACAAAACTACAGTCTTCGGTCTAGTTTTAGTCATAGGGTCAGTGTGTGTTAGGCTCACAATGCTTTCTGATTTGATAACTGGCTTCAGAACCACAACATAAAATCAAAACTTCATCTTGTAAGCCACTTAAAACATTTTTTTAAATTTAGACATAAACAACATTAAAATGTTATAAGTCAAAAACATTTTGTTGTTTACATGGTCATATGATTTTATGAAATACCTTTAAGCTAAATATTAGGCCATGGGTGTATGACCATTATAATATTTTGTCCATTCAGAACCACATCACCCCGTACCCTGTCAACACCATTGCCAGCTACTTCTCCTACTCCTGTCCTGACACTGGCTCTTGCATCTGATTCACACTGCAGCCCATGCAGAGGACGAAGGTGGACACTTGACTTGACATCCTGCGAGTGTTTCTGCAAAATCAACCCAGAGAGCTGTCGAAAAGGCCACTCGCTCAATCTCCGCCGCTGCAGGTCAGAGACAGTGAAATGGCGTGAGCCTCCTACACCATTTTAATTCAACTACAAAATGTGTTCTCCATTTTTTTTAGGTGTGAAGCTATGAGGACGTGATGAAGACATTTGTACCTCATGATGTATCCATATATTTCAGATTTGTGTTCAGAGGCATGCAAAAAGCCCAGCATAGCAGTGAAATAGATAAATGTCATTGTGGTCATAGACATCTTGCCTCTTACTGATCCACATTTACGTTGTGTTTAGTGAGCCACATGCAACAAGTGGAAAAAGGCAGCAGAAATTTATTAGTGGCAAAAACAGTAATAATAACAATAGTAACAGCCCTGTCAACTGGATACTTGGACAGTTTATTTTTGCTGCAAATGAGCTTTGGAAAAGCAGCAACCAACGGAAATCATTATTTGTGACATAGCGACACAGAACATACATGTATGGATGTTGGTTTACAGTAAAACTAGAGGCAGACTTCCTTGTGAAACAAAACTTAACTACAGATGGGTTGGAGGTGGATGCTCTAAAATGGGACATGAGCCATGCCCAAGCAGCACCCCTGCATGCTCAAAGCTATAGTCCAACTGAATGCATGGCTGCAGTGATCTGTGTGGTCCCTGTGCTGAAAGACCCAGATGGGATATCCCTGCAGCCATTTGCTCTCATTCACAGTGTATGACCACAGGCTGGCTCCCCAAGCTGCTTTCCATCATTTGTTTAATTTGAGCTTTTTGTCTTCATCTTTCCTTAGGTCTTCAATTGAAAGCACTGCTTTACCTCACTTTGCCTCCCTTTGCTTTGCAATCCGGCAGTGAGGAGAATGACAATAATGAGGCCTGGCCACTTTCCACAGCTTCACACAAACATTTCACACTTATACCAGTCGCTGTGCAGAGAATCATTCATATAAACCCTCACATAAGCAGCGGGCTGTTAATGCAGGTAGCTTTTGATTTCAGCACACTAAGTGTGCATGTTTTACACTTTGCGTTTACTCTCTGTTAGTGGAGAGTCTACTGTTTTATATATTTTATATAGTTTTGTTGTGATAATTTTATATTTAGTTGAAAGTGTCTTTTTGTTTGGATTCATCTGTAATCCATCCGCACACAAATCACTTTGGGTGGTCAGCTCTGTATATTCTTAGCATCTAAAAGACACAAATGTATTGAATTTAAATGAATTTTAAAGTAAACAAATAGTTTTGTTTGTGCCCACAAGAATTTATACTAAAGGCCATTCATTCACTGAAAGGGCAATGTGGCTTTTTATATTCCAACCGAATCTCATGACTTAAGTCCATGCTGTGCCATGACTGCTTGGCTTCAGTGTGAGAGAAGACCTTTCTTCTGAGCACTTAAGAATAAACCTGTCAATCAGTGGATCAGTCTGCTTAATGTCCATACATTGTCCCTGAACATTTGGGTCATCTGCGAGGTTCAAAACATATATTTTAAAACTATTTTTAACCTTCCAGTATTTACAGCTAAACAAATGAATGCAATGCTGAATGGTGTCGTGTGACTGCTGTGTAGAAAAAGGGGTTTTAATGGCTGTAATAAGCTATATTTAATTATATCCTAAATTTGTATTTATGAGATGGTTCAGTGTTAGTTATTCCTTTCAATCAGTGCTTCAATCACTACCTCTAATTGGTCAAGAAAAGGCCAAGTGTTACAACATTTATTTTTTAAGCTTCCACTTATGTTGAACATTTTGTTTGACTTAAATTCCATTCAGTGTTGCTTTTCACTTTTCATAATTCCATTCTTTAAAGGAAAGCATTGATAAATAACAAGTGATTAGACATTGTAAATGTAGAAATTAAGTATTCATTTTACAAATGATGTCTTCAAATGACTGTGCCCAGCAGTAAGCTCAAACTGAAACTGCACTTAATGAGCTTCTGATGATAACTCACTTCAGCATCTTAAAATTACCTATTTGGCTTCACATGTAAATATAAGAACATACATGGCTCCTAGGCTTGTGACAGATTTTTGGAATATATTTAAAAACTTGTTTTTGTCTGGAGCTTTAGAATATAATAGCTTCCAAATGTACATCTCATGTGAACCTGCACATTGTGTACTCCAACATAGTATTATTGGAGGTCCCATTGTAGCTGCATGTAAGACATCCTGCTGCTTAACATGCCAGATATTCTCTGTAGTATAACAGGTTTACTGGGGTCTCATTTTTAAAATCTGTGTAGGTACAAAATGCTATCTATGTAACTTTCCACATTTGTAATCTTTAAAAAGACAACTTTATATAGGAATAAGAGGTCTGGTCCAAAAATTCAGAATTTTTGCTTGTCTCATCTTTCAGAGATGAAGCAGAAGGCAAGCTGAGACTAGAAATGAGTAAGTTGATGGAAATTAGTGTTTTGTGTGCACATTTATACACTGAGAATTCAGCCTGTAGTATAAATGAGACCCCTGGTCACTTCTTACATTACCCCTGATAGAGCCTGTATTAAGGTAAAACTGTAAATTTGCTGCTATACCATTTGTGCCCTATATGTTATAGAATATTGCAGGTTGATGTTGTATTAGCATTTACAACCACTCAAGTCCATATTGTGTAAAAGTCAATGTCACATTTATTGAAAAAGATCCCAGTGATGTTACATTTTTTTATGAAAAGTGTCCTATTTTTTATATAAATTTGTCATTTATTTGTTGTGGCTGTGGTGATGGTTATTTATGCACTCATGCACTGCACCTTCTAAATGAATTAAGGTGATAAGCAGATATTTTATATAGTGGCCACTTTAATGTTACTGTCATCTGTGTGAGGTTGTGTTATGAGACAAAATATTGGTCCTTGTCCTCATGTCTGAATTGCTGAGTCACATTTTGGTACACGTTCAGAATGTTGCAAAATAGGAAATGTACAAGTACAAAAACACTGGTCTTCTATTGTGTCATTTTAGTGCTTGCTTTAGTTACTAACAATGCCATGAACATGAAATTACTTTTGGCAATTTATCTTGACTCTTGTCTCTTAATACCAAACAATCAGGGAGGGAGAGCAGAAGACAGAACAGGAGAGCCGCCAAACTAGCTGTCTAGAGGGGCATTACGCCAGCACTAAATATAGCTGTAAGATTAAGCAGACAGTGGGAGAGAAATGGAAAAAAAGGACAATGTGAGTGAGGCATCAGGATGGTGATGAGAGAATAGTGCCTTACTCTAAATTCTATTAACGTTAGGGATACTGAGCTTTGATGAAAAAGAATTAGTTTGATATACGTGCAGCTAATTGATTTGTGTGGTGCATGTGCTTCAATAACTTTTCTTCAGGCTCACCAAGTTCCCTTTCCAAATTGATCTGTGCTCATGTGTCAATGCCCAGTGCTTCCTGTATTTTTTCCTCATTGTATTCTTTGCTTTTAGAGCGATGTTATTCAAATACAGAAGTTTCCTCCCTGCTTTTGCAGCAGCAGCTGTGAAAAGCAGACTGGCCCCTAAACAATGTTGTGAGATGCTATCATCTTGTAGAATTATCATGGCCAAATAAAATAAAAATGGCACTTATGGGCACATCACATAGGCATTGAGCAACTTTTGGAAGACTATATGAATTAACAATTCTGTCAACTAAGGTATTATGCATCTATGATTTAACCCAGTCCAGTCAAAAGCCAAACTCATACCCTATAGAACAAAGATCAATATCATTATCATTGTAAACCTGAGAATTATATTTTATAGTGTTTTTTTTTTTTTTTTTTTTATTTAGTCATAAGTTTGTTTGGTAGAGATAACTGGCCAAATTGTGTGGTACCTAGATAGGACAGGATGGCACATGTTTAAGGATGAAGGCTCTGTGGGTGTTATCTCTGTGTCAATTATTCACCCATGCTCGGCTCCTTAAAGTTTTGTTATGCAGTGTAGTAGGTTGATTTTAAAGGGGTCATAAATGTAAAAACTGACTTTCTTGAGTCTCTAAACCATATTATCATGGTGTTTCATAAACAGTTGCTCATCATCATTTGAGTTTCAAAATTAAGCCTCCTGGTCATGCATCCATATATACAGTTCAGAAATGTGACATATACATTTTTCAGCAACAAAACCACCAACATGAAAATCTGCTGGACCTGTTTGTTATTAAGCCATTTTAGATTAACACTGCAGTTTACAGTGTACAGTATGGAAAATACTGATCTATATTAGTTTCGTTTAATACTAAATACCTGAAAAAAAAAACATGTCTTCCTTAAGCACTGCAAAATGGCTGTAAACAGCCCTAAAATCCTGAGGCCCAGGACAACAGACCTCTTTGTCCCCTACTGTCTACTGCCCTGACTGTAGCCATGGCTTAAGGGCAATTCAAGATTTTTATTTTTTTTAATTCGGCTTTCTATTTTCCATTTTCACATTTAGAAATCAATGGAAGACTGTGATCATTTTTCACTCACATTCTCGACAATACAAAATAAATGTTTATATGCTGGGCATGAACATGGATCTGTTGTTGATAACACTGTAATTTAGCCCCATAGACTGTATAAAGATATTTATATAGCTCGTCTATGTTTAGCCCTGTAGGTAAACGTGAGTGTAGCGCCCCCTATCTGTGTCTCTCAGTCATGATTTCAGTCCCTAAAGTAGACGTGGCAATGACGTATATGCCGGAAATGACCCGGATCGGAACTTTAACCGTGGGCAGATTACTTTGATTAGAAACATCGAAGAAATACTGAAATGTCTTCTTGTTGTAAGTCTAAATGAAACCCCTTTCGTTCATATAATTATGTAACCAAAAATGTGCGTATAAGTTGTCGAAATTATATTTTAAGACGCTGTACACCGGTTAAACTTCCGTTAGCTTCCATGAGCTAATAGTAGCCCGTGGTTAGCCGGTAAGGCCGTGATCAGCTGAGACACTGGCCAAGGCCTTTACACAAAAACACTTTAGATTTATAACTGATTATGGCTACTGTGATCTCAATTATGAACATTAATTTGATTTCGTTTTACCGATTTTCAAACACTGCGTAGGCAGAATTGATTTTCAATCCCTGGAGTGACGGTAGCTAAAACAAGTATTATGGTATTTTGCAATAACAACACATGTCATTCTTAAATTGTGTTGCGTGTAGGGCGAGAATCTGTTTTTATTTTCTGTAAAAAAAAAAAATTTCTTGTTCTTGCAGTTTTGTGCACACATATGTCAGGGTCCAGCACACCTCCTTGGATTTGAGTTGGCTACATTTTAGGAGGTTTAAATCCTAAACATCATTTGGAAGAGGGCTCGTCGGGTTTGGTGGTCTCTGGTGGTCTCTGGTGTTGGACGGACTTCTGGCCGTGAAACAACGGCAGGATGACGTGCCGTGACCGGACCCTTGAATTTCAGTCGGCCTGTAAATCCCTTCAAGGCAGACAGGTTTGTTTTTAAACGATTAAGTGTTGCCTGTAATCTTAATGGTTTTAAAGTGAACCACTGAACCTTGGTTTCCATTGCCCTGCATATTCAGGACACACAAGTTGTGGTCATTTCTAGTATATTATGAACAGGTTATGCCTTATGTGAAGAATTTTCTAAATTCACTTACTGAACTGTTAAGGCCTTCTAGCACTGACGAAAGATTGTCTGTAATGGTTTTAGCAGTGAGTGTTAATGCCATGGTACACATCCTAATCATTACTGTACACATTCACATCTCTTCCTCTGTCGCACTTTTAAACAGAATGGAGTCCAACCCAGTAAACCGGCCCTCTCTGCCCTCAGACAGCGCAGTGACTTCACGGTCATGGCAAAGTAAGTAGTTTCATTTTACACTCTTCACTTGTTATTGTAGTTTCTTTTTTGTCAGTGTACCAGATTGTACTTTAATTGTATTTTATACTTCCTCTATAAATATTTGACTAACCTTGCAATTAATTGTGTCCACTTACTTTTTTCAGGAGAATTGGAAAAGACCTGAGTAATACATTTGCCAAACTGGAAAAACTCACTATTTGTACGTCTTGTGCTGTTTATTGGCTTTATATTTTTGTTATCTCTATTATTTGTTTTTATTTAGACGTGTCTTTCTATTTCAGTGGCAAAAAGAAAGTCTCTGTTTGATGACAAAGCTGTTGAGATTGAAGAGTTAACATATATTATCAAACAAGTAAGTATTGTTTTATCATTTAATGTCAGCTTAATTATTAATTAAATGCTATTAAGACTTTTACCTTTTGAAAAGGATATCAACAGTTTGAATAAACAGATAGCACAGCTACAGGACTTGGTGCGGTCTCGAGGAGGTCCAGGGGGGCGGCATATCCAAACACACTCTAATACCATTGTTGTGTCATTACAGGTAACAACACCCCATTCATTAATGTGAGCGTATACTTAGTTTGTTATTGGTTTGTCTGTATTTGAAATAACATTGTATTATATTTTTTAACAGTCTAAACTTGCATCAATGTCAAATGACTTTAAATCGGTTCTTGAGGTCAGGACAGAGGTAAGTGTTTTGATGTCATTGTAAAACAGGACATTATATTGTATGGTGTGTTCATTTGTGTTTTGTGTTTTGTAGAACCTGAAGCAGCAGCGCAGCAGGAGGGAACAGTTCTCTCAGCCCCCCACCACCTCCTCTCCGCTCATGGCCAATAACTTCAGTGAGTCCCTCCTCATGTCTGCCCTCACTCTTTCTGTTAATTTAGTTTCATAGTTTTCTTAAGGGTCTCGCGTTAGACACCGTTTAATCACAGCATGCACTTGCAGCTTTACAAGGGCGTGATCAATCTATGCATTGTGCGTTTATTCTTTTACATAGTAATATATACAACAGATGGTAATGCAATAAAAAAAGTCTCAATAAATGACATACTCTGCAGTAAACTTATTGTGCTGAATAGACCTGTTTACCAGGCCTCATATGCAGTAATACAGGCCTGTCACAAAAATGACAAAATAGTCCATATTATTTAAAAATACTGCTCTCAAACATTTGTAAGTAAATATTTTACCATGTAGGTCAAATTGGCCAAATAAATAGTTTGAGCACGCCCTTCTGAAAATGTGGCCGTAATATAGAGTACAACATGCCTGGCTCCAGCTTAAATCATTTATATTAAATACAAACAGAGACCCTTTGTCTTGTGCTGATCTCAACACTGTCAGTAAAATATTCATGAACTAACTTAAATGGTCTTATTTGTAGCCATTTCAAGAAAGGCGTATCGTCATTTGACTTGCAAGAATTAATAATCGAGAAAAGCCCGCTGCACACTACAGGATAACTTTGCTTCTTCCTGATTTCAGGAAGGCGTGACCCGACTTTGGGTCTTCATGAGTGATTTCTAAACTGCTGCGCTCTTATGTGTCTCGATTCTGAGCTGCTCTGTCATATCGTATTCACAAGATGAATGACGGGCATTAAAACCTTTTATCTGAACAATTTTACTACATTTCATAAGTGATAATAACACTTGACTCTTGACTTGCAGTCAAGTGCAATGCTCTAAAAATCGCTGAAGACTGAAAAATCCTGTAGTGTGTGGCAGTCTCAAGACAATATAATTTTCATCTTACACCTTTGGCTGACTATTTCTTTCATGGACAGTGTGCACAAATGTTTTCCTGACAGTATTCATGTCAGCTGTTTTGGACAACTGCTCAGAATCCTTGTGAATGCTGATTGCTGTATTTGGTCACTTATAATGCAAAAATTAAAAAATATTTTAGGGAGCCGCAAAAAAGGGGCCCAGGAGCCGCATGCAGCTCGCGAGCCGCGCTATGACTACCAGGGCTATACACCCTCAAAAGGTATTTCCCTGGAAAGCTTGACTCTCTCAGTTGGGTTTAATAGCTCCTGTCTGTTCCCGCTGTACTTTCTGCTTTTTCATTTTACCATGAGCTGTTGCACTCAACCTTGTGAAAATGTGTTTGTGTTTGTTTCCCTTCAGAGAGTTCAGTCTTGATGCAGGATGAGTCCAGAAGTCTTGGGGATGTGGCCATTGACATGGACTCACAAACCAACCCACTACAGCTGCAGCTCATTGATGAGCAGGTAGGTGTTTAGTTAGATCCACAACTGTGGACCGTTTTGACGGTTTTAACAGGTTTTTTTAATTTATTTATTTTTTTTATAAAGGACTCCTACATTCAGAGCCGTGCTGACACCATGCAGAACATCGAGAGCACAATTGTGGAGCTGGGCTCCATATTTCAGCAGCTCGCACACATGGTGAAGGAGCAGGAGGAGACCATCCAGAGGTCAGTGTTGTGTTAAAGATGAGGACCTGTGTACCTGAGCATATGTGTTACAACTTTGTTTTTATTTCTACAGGATTGATGCTAATGTTGAAGACACCCAGCTGAATGTGGAGGCAGCACACACAGAAATCCTTAAATATTTCCAGTCTGTTTCCTCCAATCGTTGGCTCATGATTAAGATCTTTCTGGTCCTCATCGTCTTTTTCATCATCTTTGTGGTCTTCTTTGCTTAAAGAAAATAACAGGCTCAAATTAAACTGGATATAAGAAACATAATAAGAAAATATTTGAAGGAGACTTTTCTCATTGTTTTGGGACCAACTCAAAAGAATTGACTGGTGTTACCAAGCCACAGACTTTTATCAACCAGCGAAGAAAAAGAACTTCAACTCCCAGTTACAAAATTGTATATTTTCAGATATTGAGCCGGTGTTGTGTTAAACAATATTTTATGGACACTTTAATTTAATGGTTTGATTCTCCAAACTGTCTTTTATTTCTTTTTTTTTCCTTCCCAGAAATTAAATTGCAAATATTTCTATTTTCAAAGCCAAATAACTCTGGAGTTTATTCTTAGCTCATACCTTCCTCTGGAAGTACTCGACCTCTTATATTTTAGAACATGCCTGCTAAGTTAATTTTTTTGTTTTGCTTTCACTTTATTTGCCAAATGGGAACTATCGAAAACTGTGACCTGGTGGACATTTTACCTACTTTGAGGATCACTGGTTGAAAAGTTATGGAGAAATATCAGATGTAAAGTACATACAAGTTGTACAAAATCTATTTTAAACAAAAGGTTTCTTTTTTTTTTTTTTTTTTGAGGGGGGGCTTGGGATCAGTGTTTGACAACAGTACTAATGAAGGGATTTCACTGATTGAGACTTTCACAATGACATCATTAGCTGGATTCCCTGGAGGTCACCGTGTAGAAGTCTACTGGAATTTTTTTTAAAAAAGGACATAACTTTTACAATTCTTATTTTCATCTTTAGCCAAATGCCTTGACATAAATGTACACAGTGCAAATCGATAAATGATGTATTGATAAGAAAAAGCATATTAATAAAAGAAGAATGGGATACTGACATTCAGAGCTGAGATTGTCTTGATGTAAGCCGATTAGTCAGCAGAGATATTATTAGCCCAACAGCAAATAGTGCTGCTCATCATCAATTATGTAACAGTATATGGAGCACACAAACCTTTAGCCTTTCAGCAGAAGCACCTGCAGGTGGATATTACTTCAAGAGGAATGATTCTCTAGGTAATTTTGTACTGGGCAAAATTATATTTTATAACAAAGAATTCATAACAACTTTTAATGAAAAGCAAGATTTATTAATATGAGAACACTTTGATAAGGTATAGATTGTAAAAATGTATTTTTTCAAATTTAATATGTGCTTTTTCAGATGTTGGTTTTACTACTCTGTTAAACATCTGTTTTTAAATATTAAATGTTTATTTTCTGATAATTTTCTCTACTTTCTCTGTCCAGGGCCCTGTTTCATGCCTCTGCACTCTGTTCCATTGGCGCGATCTCAGGCATGCTTCTGCTCCTGCCCTTTTTGGCCCGTGCCCTGATGACCTCATCTTCTTCCTCTGAGTCCTCTTCGTCAGACCAATCCACCTGCTGCTGCAGATTTCCCCGAGAGCCCCTCAGACCAGAGCCTTTTGAGAAATGCCCTGTACTGAACTTTGTGCGAAAAGTTACAAACGATAAGCTTTTGCTTCGCTGCTGCTTCTCAAAAACACATTCTTGCAAATCTTCATTGTCACTGATTTCGTTGACACACTCACGCAGCACAGACCGAAACATGCGGGGAACTTCATGAACCTCTGGCTCCATCTGTGACACCAGCCTCCGAAACCTATACAAGCAGCACAATAGTGAGATATAAAGTATGCATCTAATGTGCAAGCCTTATTAGTAGCCGTGTAAAGCAGACATGAAAAATGTATATCTTTTGTACATTTCAGTTTCACCTGACAATCACTGGGCCACACTGTGCAGGGGGGATCTTAGCACAGAGGTCCTGCAACTCCAGCAGGTCATTGGGGGTCAGCTCATAGGGTTGTGGAGTTTGGGTGGAAGCCAACCAGCTGTAGTCTGCTGCTGAGGAGGAGCTACGGCGCCTGCGCCGCCCCTCTTTGGCCCTCTCCAGACGGATGCGCTCTGTGCGTTTGACCATGGCCCCCAGCTCTAACATCAAGGTGTTGGTCACCAATTCTTCAGTGCTGCGCTGTCCAGGGACCTTTGGCTCAATGGAGAAGACCGCAGACCACGGAAACATCTGGAAACACATTGCTTTTGGAATGATTTCACATAATGCATGTCTTACCAGTATAAATATATAGCATAACAGATAAATACAAAATTGTCTTTCTCCAAAAAGAATAATTAACAACATGTTTTACTTACTGTTTATGTAAACAGACGGCCTTGGTTCAGTCTGATGAGTTATTAAAGAGCATGAATTCCACAGGCAGCGCACTGCTACCTGCCTGCCGTGCTGCCCTCAGCGGTCCCTGGCAGACAGTAGACTGGACTGAGAATAAACATAATCCTGTATTAATAAGAAGCGGCTGACTAGATGAGCCTACCACATGACACAAGTTCATTGTGATGGGAAGATCACAGGATGTTTGTAACACATTTTCTCAACAATAGTGGATAGTATTAAGGCATTTTCCATCTTGCCATGGGCATATGAGATATGTGCTGGAGCACAACCAGCAAGCCCACTGCAGCAACAATAATCCTTATAAATTACATTGTACAGCTCAGAAAAGCACAACACAGAATTTTGACATGTCACTAATCCTGTTAGCCAATCCCATCCCTGATAGGGACATCTACCCACCTGTTTACTGTTTTATTTTGTTAATAATTCAGCTTTGTAATAGTTTTGTGGCAATCAACTGCTTTTGATTGGAATAGTCACTAAGGGGATTACATTATATTTGTAGGCTCTGTTATTTATTTAACCAATTTTTAATCAGAAGCTAAACTTTTAAACCTGATTCATGTATTGTAAATGATCTTGACATTATTACTCTTGTTGTGCTGCAGTAAGTGAATCCATGAAACATACCTCCTAAAGATGGTTGCAGCCTGTCTAGTTCCTGGATTTCCACACCTCAGCAGTGAGCTAACAAATCCCAGATTACACACAAATCCAACGTGTACCTGGAAGAATAGGCACATGTTCATCTAATCTGATCAAACTCATCTGTGTTATTAGACCCAGAAGACCTAAAAGAAAAAGCGTGCAATTTAATAATGATAATATGATAATGATGATAATAATAAATATAGCTGCAAGTGGCGATGATCGGTCCTCGTGTCCGCCTACACCGCACCCCCCAACCGCCGTGCCCCGCAACCACTGTATAACCAAAAATCAATCAACTAAAATAATAGTGTTTTCTGTTTTTTCATTTTGGTTGAATTTATAGCTCTGAAAATCATACTGAACATCATTCTGCTACTTATTTAGCATTTATTATACCATTCATATGTTTCTCTCACATGAGAAAAATTATCTTGTGAGAATTTTTTTTCCATTTGGATGGATGGATCTTCATTTTTTATGCAAATGGGCTGATTTTTGTCATGCATCTTTGAATGTCTTGACATTTTCTCATCAGTTTTTCAATCTTCAATCTTTTCAAACCTTGAGCACAAAAATTATCAACTGACTTCCATTATAATCAATTATTTTTCAACCTGCCATTGTACAAAGGAGGTTATCCCAGGGCTAATGAGCAAATATCAGGTTCTCTGTATGTTTAGATTAAAACATTCACGGCTACAGCCACAGCGAGCGTCAGTCAGTCTTCAATTCAGCTGCATTTCTCGCATTAAATGCCACCAAAAGTTCCTCGGGACGCTGAAATGTCCCAGTTGACACCAAACACTACCAAACTGTCCTGGTTACAGACGTCACAGCTAATGAAATGTTACACATTACAGTTTAATGCAGCTTCCAGCATCAATTAATGTTCGTGTTTACAGGCAACACCTTGGTATATATACAGTATTTACCGGTAAGTTTAACGTCACCGTGAGGTGGATGAATTTGCTAATTATAACCCATTATAACTCATGTATAACCATTGTCTGAAATGCAGCTGAAGTGAAGACTGACTGATGCTCGCTGTGGCTGTAGCCGTGAATGTTTTAATCTAAACATACAGAGAACCTGATATTTGCTAATTAGCCCTGGGATAACGTTACGTCAGATGTTAACCAACTGGCTACCACTATGTTATCTAACATATAGGTGCAATTTCCCGTTCAAAGGAGGTGTTTCTACACAATATTATACAGCAGCGTTCGGTTCCAGAATTCAAGACATTTTCACAATAGATTTTAATTAACACAATTGTTGGTCACTGTTGTAGCTTCTTATGCTATTACTCTGTTTTTACCCTCTGCTACAAACTTGAGCATGCGCAGTCTTGATCTTGATCGATGTTTCTTCTGCTCGATGAATAATGTCTGTGAAGTGATGACGTATTTTTGACAGTAAAGTTCCGTCTGTGAATTCGTATTCGTACTGATGAAAGCGTAATCGTAAATTTTAATTTCGTGATTGTAATTCATGACGTCGTAATTTTTCAATTCGTATTCTGATGGATAAAATACACACAATATATTTTATGTACGACTGGACTCATTTGAGAGTTTACAAATATTTATTTTATGCGCAACTACAGCCAAATATGCACGTATTTCCCAAATACGCACGGATTTCTATTTTATGCGCACGAATATTTTTGACAGCTTTCTTACTCCATAAAAACCGCATCAGTAATTTGCATAAACTCAGCGAAGATAAAACTTCAGCTCTTGTGCGCTGATGCGGTCAACTTCTGTCGGATTAAAAGACATGACTCGGTGGAATACAGGTTAGTGTGACCATATTTGCGTTTGTCAAAATCAGGACACTGTACGGGGGGAAGGAGGTGGGGACTCGTCATCGACATTGCGCGACTCTCACCTGGCAAAACTTTTTCCCACTTGTAACGTGTGGTAGTGATCCGGCGGAGAGCGCTAGCTATAGCCCTTAACATGTGCTCTGGGATAGCTGAGAGAAGAGCGAGACTTACTGATTTCCACTGATACTTGGTTTATTACACATTTAGAAACCATACGATGCCAGGTCTCCACAGCGCTAAGTCTGAATCATACATGAAATAGGAAATAGTCCGTTTAACACCGGCACATTACTTGAGTTGTAGAGCACAGAGGTGTGGGTCCATTACATTACACAGCATCGCAACAAGCGAGTGACCCGTGACCTGTGACTTACAGTATAATAGAAAATAAAAGGGGCGCCACCTGATGGCGCAATCAAGTATTACAGTATCAATAATAATATAAATGTAATACTGACCGTTACATAGTCCCCCCTGGTAAGAAAAAGGCTGTCCCCAGCCGTACACAACTGAGAAACCCAACTGAACCATACCTTACAACATTCCATACATAGATTACAGTTAAGGCTGGCATTTACACAGGGTAAAGGCAATGCAAAAATAAAACTTACTTTTGGCAAAAAAACAAAAAAAATTAATTCGCAAGTACAGTGGATTTTTTTTTGTAATTCACCAAGCTATAAGAACTTCACTTGGTACTATGCAAAAACTCGGGTCAAGTAGAGTAACTACACATCTACACCCTTCTAATACTGAACAGTGGTGCAATAAATGGGCACGGAAATATCTAAGCAAACAAAAACAGTCTATTTCAGATCAAGCTTGTCAGAATGAAAGGCATTAGTCCATTTTCTGTCCTCCCAGCCAGAGGTGATCCTGGGGTAACGTCTGGGCCTGAGGTTGTAATGTCCAGGGCCCAGGTCTGGGTTAGACCTGGGTGAGGGGCTGGCCAATATAGGAACAGAGTCACTGTCCGGCAAAGCGAAAGGGAGTGAATCAAAGTCATTTTCAGCCATTACATCATCCACCTGTGGAGTGGGGAGGGCCCTAGGGGCAACATTGTCAGTGTCCAAAACCTCAGAGCTCCCACACTCAGCAGGAGGCGAAATAGAGTGTCCTTTGGCAGAGAGAGAGTCCCAAGTATGGAAAGGTTGCATATTCACAACATGATAAACACCAGCATCGGTACCAGAGTCTGTTCTAGTGAGTCTGTAGTTAACGTCACCAAGTCTCTGTGCAACGCGCAGTGGGCCTTCGAATAGGGGCGCTAGTTTAGCAGTAAAGTTAGCCTGAGCATCTGACCTAGGGTGGGTCTTAACTCTCACAAGGTTACCGACACTAAAAGTGGCATGGCGACGTCTTAAGTCATAGTAGCTTTTTTGTTTGTCATGACTATAGTCAAGAGCTGCTCTGGCATGGTCATGAGCTTCCTGTAGGGAGGCTCGGAGAGTCTCAGGGTAAGGGATACCTGGCTCATCAACACCATCACTAGAGGGTTGAGTGATAAGGTCAAGTGGGGTGTCTAGTTCACGACCATACAGCATCATGGATGGGCTTAGTCCAGTACTGTCATGAGGGGCAGTACGCAGGGCAAAGCAAATGTGGGGGAGGTACTTGTCCCAAGAAGTGTGCTTGTCACCTACATAGGCACGGATGGCAGTTTTCAGTGTTCGGTTGACACGTTCAGTAGCGTTAGTCTGAGGGTGATATGCTGTAGTGAGTCTGTGTACAGAACCTAAGGCAGAAACAACATGTTCAAACAGTTCACTCACAAAAGGAGACCCTCTGTCAGAAATCAGGTAGGTAGGTGCACCATGTCTAGCAAAAATGTCAGTAACAAATTTACCAGCTGCAGTCTGAGACGTGGCTTCTCTAACAGCACTCGCCTCCACCCATTTCGAAAAATAGTCTACAAACACAATCAGGTATGCATTACCAGCCGGGGTACGGGGTAGAGGACCAACAAAGTCTACACCTACATACTCCCAGGGTTTCTGTGGTACAATGGGAACCATAAAACCTGCTGGTTTTCTCTGGCTAGGCTTCGTGAGTTGGCAGACTGAGCAGGAGGTCACATAACGTTTAACATCAGCTGCCATTTTCGGCCAGAAAAATCTGAGACGTAATCTAGCTAGAGTCTTTGAAACACCAAGATGACCTGCAGTGGGGTGGTCATGGTAATAATCCAGTAAGGTACCTCTAATAGATGTAGGGGCATATAACTTAAGCTCCTTTAAAGGATGCAAGGTACATGTGGCTTTAGAGTCTTTGTAGCAGAGAAGTGAGTCATAAACAACATACTGTGACAGATTATTATTCTCTAAATAAATTTGTGAGTCATTTTCAATATCTTTCAGCAGTGGACCAACAACAGGGTCATCTAAGCTGCAACTGTCGGACATGAGAACGATCTGTAAACAAAACAGGGGGCAGGGCGCGAAAGTCTAAACTGCCAATGACAGCATGCTCGGGCAAGAGATCTATGGAGCCTTCACAAGCGAGGGGCAGTGGGTTACGCGACAGTGCGTCTGGGACTTTATTGCGTGTGCCAGGTTTGTGCACTATAGTGAAATCAAAGTCCTGCAGGCGAAGTGACCAGCGGGCAAGCCGGCCAGTGAGATTCTGACGTGACATAAGCCATTTGAGACTATTGTGGTCTGTATAGATAGTGACATGCATACCCTCAACATATGGACGAAAATGCTCAAGGGCCCAAATCACAGCGAGGCACTCCTTTTCTGAAGTGCTGTAGGGGAGTTCAGCTTTGTGAATGGAGCGGCTAGCAAATGCCACAACATTCTCGTGACCCTTGTCATCTTTTTGCATTAAAGCAGCACCAAGACCAACATCACATGCGTCAGTGTGAATGAAAAAGGGGCGCCTAAAATCTGGAAATGACAAAACAGGGGCC